GCTGACATTGAGGACTGATATCCCTACACGACCAACATTTGTGTGAGAGGCTGACATTGGGGACTGATATCACTACACGACCAACATTTGTGTCTGAGGCTGACATTGGGGACTGATATCACTACACGACCAACATTTGTGTCTGAGGCTGACATTGAGGACTGATATCCCTACACAACCAACATTTGTGTGAGAGGCTGACATTGAGGACTGATATCACTACACGACCAACATTTGTGTGAGAGGCTGACATTGGGGACTGATATCACTACACGACCAACATTTGTGTCTGAGGCTGACATTGAGGACTGATATCCCTACACAACCAACATTTGTGTGAGAGGCTGACATTGAGGACTGATATCACTACACGACCAACATTTGTGTGAGAGGCTGACATTGGGGACTGATATCACTACACGACCAACATTTGTGTCTGAGGCTGACATTGAGGACTGATATCCCTACACGACCAATATTTATGTGAGAGGCCGACATTGGGGTCTGATATCCCTACACAACCAACATTTGTGTCTGAGGCTGACATTGGGGACTGATATTTCATCACGACCCTGCTAGCACTTCCTACCATATTGCAATTTAACCATACAAAGCAAATGGTCCATTTTACTGTACCATATGACTTCCATCCCTGACGTTTATGCCGATGCAAATGAGATCGATTATAATGTCAGGTTTTGTGAAGTCATCTGTACGTGTTTTAAATATTGCATGAAAATATCTTAGTTATACCTGCTTGTATCCACAAATATGTGTTGAGTCTGGTATAAATGGACTTCAACAGTTTATCGATTTTTGTGGCTTATAACAATTTTAGGCATTGTTATTTTTTTCACTTTGTTTTTGTATTCAAATATGCAGCATTAAAACATTAGAAGTAGAAAATGACATTTCATTTCAACAAATTTCGAAAAAAAATCGACGAAAATTGTAAAAAAAAATCAGTCAATAATTAGTTAATAGAGCCTATGGAAGTTCTCTCCGAGGTGACTTGAGTGAAGTAGAGAGTAGAATCAGTTAGAAATGAAAAACATAAATTAAGGGAGATAACTCGTACAAAAATACACGCAGCTATTTATAGATTATAAGGATATATTATATAAAATAAGATCATGAAACCATAAAGTAATTGGCAGATATTGACCAAAAAGCGACGTGCATAAATATATACACTGGTCATAGCTGTCGATACTATTCAGTTTTATATAGAAAATACAGTCATTGAAGACAGAGAGTTGATGTATATATATTTCAAGAATGAAATTCGTAGTAAATTAACGCACACTGGAGTATTAAAGGGCATTTTCACATATTTCAGATATAACATGACACAATGACAGCAGAAAAGTATCATGAAAAGTATCATAATATGGCTGTTTAGGTCTTATAGAGATTAAAACGACTGGTTTACCAATAAATAACTGAATATCATTCAGTAAAATTCTGTTTGTAATTCTGTTACAGTCAGGACATTGTAGAAAGGTGTTTGTACCAATATGGTCATAATTTCCATAAATATTAACAGAAGTAAACAGAAAGAGTCTAAGATCATAGTACATAGGACATTCAACAAAGTAGTGGGAAACAGTTTCATATTCAGAAGAGCAGGCACAGGATAAACTCTTAGTTAAATGGTCATTAAGTCAATCAAAATTTAAATTACTACAAGAATTTCTAAGTTGACAAAGAATAATATTCGCCCTTCTATCACCTTCAGTCTTGAAAATAAAGTTGACACACTTTCAGTAATGATATCTACATTGTATTTTTTTTGTAAGAGTCGAGGAGTTGAGGTCATTATCGGTATGCTTAATAGTTCGACACATTAGTGAAAACAAACTGTCAAAGTAATTGTTAGTTCTGTATATTAGAGGAATGAATCAAATCTAGACAACCCTTGGAATACAGATTTCTGCTTTGTCAAGAGGAGGGGTGGGGGATAGAAGAAGATTAATTGGTGAAGTTAGTAATAGATTTTGCTATTCTCCACCATTTGTCAGTAGGAACCTTATTTTCATTTTTAGACATCTTTCAAGTTTTTTTTTCTTTTAAATAATTCCCTTTTACCTCACTGATCGAGCCAATTATTTCATTCCTTAATATGCGAAGTCTTTCCCAGTGAAGATAACTATTTGTTTCTATGGCCTTTCTATGAATTCTATCGCGCGGTCTCATTTTAATCTAATAATGTTATTCATCCATGGCTTATTGTGTGGGGGCGTACTGTAATAACTTTGGTAGGAATGAAGCTGGTGCCTTGTGCCATGATTGAATTAACTATCAATGAATTAAATGTGTTTGAATCATGATTTCATGACCAGTTCAACCAATCAATATTAAGAAAGGCATTATTCATGCTTTCAAAATCAGCTTCGTCATAGTGAAACATAGTTTTTTAAAAATAATTTGACTGTAATACAGTAAAAGAAATTTGAGTATGAACGGATGAATGATAACTACAAGATGGTAGTGATACATCAATACTCTTAGTTAAGTTCATGTTGTCAGTAAAGATAACATCTATGGGAGTGGCACTCTCAGGTGTGATCCTTGTAGGTACCTGTATATCACTAGTGAGGTTATGCTTAATAAGGAGTCTGGATAAATGATCGTATAGTGGTATATTTAACATATTAATATTACCTGTAAGAATAACATCCAGAGTAGTATCAACAACTCGCGTGTCATCTTCTTTGTCCCAATAATAAATAGTACAATCTGGTCTATTAAGGCACTTAAGGCGCAATTGATGATTTTGTATAAAAAAAAACCTTTGACAAGATTTTTCAATATAGTCCCTTTCTAATTCTATCCTTCCTTACATTACAACAATATTTTTATAAGAGACAATAACCCCACCCTAGACAAGTGTTTCTATCTTTCCGAAAGGGAGGTGTATTAAATGATTGCATCTGAATATCAACATCAGATATCAAGGGAGATAAGTGAGATTCGGTTATACAAATAATATCCTTATCTCCCAGCTCAGTTTCAATCAGTGAGGTTTTAATTCTTAGAGAACAAACATGAAGATAAACTAAATTTTGAGATGGTCCAGGATTACTTTCGATATCGTTATAACAAAGTAAAATCATAAAATGCGAAACAGAAGATAAGACATATTGATTAAATAAGTTTAAGCATAAATTAATTTTGACTTGCTATATATATGTAGGTAATGACCTTGTTAAAACCGACTCTTTGTTGACTTTCAATATTTGTCTTATAATGCATCATTAAGGGCAGTACAGAAGAGTAACAACAGTATAACAATATCATATTACTGTCAATATTTCTTAAGTGAGAGGATAATGAAGAAGTGCTGATCAAATAGAATCAATGTGTATGTGTTTCTGATCATATCTATAGCCGTATTTTAATTATATAGACTGTGATTCGTACACTCTAGACTTCAAAACTCGTCAATGTGGTACGCGATGACAGACACATTAATTGACTGATCATTTACTTTTGTATGTGAATCGAATGTGTTCTCATACCCGAGAATGAAATAACAACAGATCATTGTCTCTTCAGTGCGCTATCGATGTAATTTTTTCTATCAGTTTTGAATTGTTAGCGATTTATCGTGATGGAGTTATCTCCCTGTGGTTGAAAACGGACAGCTCAGTGTTGACCACGTGTAGTGTATGGTTGTATACCTGTAAAATAGATACACCCACTCACAAGATGACCGATTTATATAAGTTGTAAAACTTGTGTCCAATCTTATTGCTACTTAAGTGAAATAAAATATATTTTAAAATCAAAATAGCCGACTTATTATAGTCTATCCATGCTGTATTGCATCAATTAATTTTTATAGATATTTTTCTTTCATTACTCGTCCTTCAATGATATTTTTGTATCATACATCTCTCTATCATTGTATATAGTAAATAACTTGATTATCGTCCTTCATACCTTAAAGAATATTTTTGTAAAATTAAAGTGTTGCAAAGTGATAAGTTTTCCGTGATCCAGTTAACAAAGCTCTAGTTCACATAATTTTACTGAGAGGTGTACGGTATAGATTTCTCGATCATAAACTTTACAGGAAGAACATACAGTTACGGCACATCTATTTTGTGTATACGTAGAAGTACTCCCCTTTGTTCCCTGTCGTTTCATAGAATTTGAACGACTATTCCGTTGCCCTTTGTGGAATGTATCAGCGCTTTGATCAGTGTTATTCAGTGAATGACGAACAAATTATAATGGACAAAATGATGAATGTTTAAAATATCTTTTAATATGTACATGTTGCTATGAAGATATAATGTTGTCATTTCTTAGATATTTTTCATATAAAATCGTTATTCCATACAATGCACAGGGTGTTCATTCTCACTCCTGGCGCTTTATTAATTAACACGCAAAGTCTCAGAATCCAGATACGAGTCGTCCGCAACAAAGAAAGGAATCTAGAGTCAGTGTAACGCGTCCTTGTATTCCACGCCTGTTGGAGGTTTGAGTTGCTCTTACCATCGAACGCAAAAATCGGTAAAAGACCTGGAAATAATGTCATTGTTATCGATTAATTTTGGTGTAATACTGATAGTTGTATCAAACTAACCTTATTGAGTGTAAGAATGTTATACCCGGAACATAAACATTCAGCTATATAGTCCGTGTTTTCTTTACATCATTACATCAGTATCCGCGGCATTCAGTCGGTAAACAAAAAAAAAAAAAAAACAAAAAACAAAAAAAAAACCAAAACAAAAAACTGGAATATCGTGTATTAAAAAAACCTACTAGATGAAGCTGTAGATACGTAGTCTGGGCTACTATCTGATACATATGGTGTTGTCGCTCTATAAAAAGAAAAAAAAGACGGCTCAGACGGTTTCATTTAATAAAAGATTTGAATAAACTTTGAAATATTTTTTGATGAAATAGCTGAATCATCAACACAGTTATTTATGTGGTCTGAAAGAATTTTATATATGAAGATATATCGATCTAATGTTAGATATATAATGTAGACAGCTAGTATTTATAAAAACTTGAGAAATAATAGGAGACATCAAGAAATAAAATTCCAATTACAATACCATATTAACGTTGGGTAATTTCATTTTACAGATAATAGATTTCAAAATATTTGTCAACTTACCTTATGGGTTTGAAAAAGCGTAATGTCAATTCTCTCTCCCTCCCTTCTATCGCACACGCACGTTACTATACGCCAGAGTATGACAAGACTTGTAACACATACGGCACTATAACACAGACATACGACACCATAACACAGACATACAACAGACAAACGACATTACAGCACAGACATACGACACTACAACACAGACATACGACACGACACAATAACAATATAAAATGCAGCAATCAAATGTCAAATTCTGTGTTATCGTCCTCTGCTACAAAAATACTCTCCATGTGTTCACCCATCAGCTTAAATGCGTGTAAATGAATAAATACTGTCAAAATGATAGTTAATGGGCTGTATATCTCGACCTGCAAAACATGTACAAAATTTGTAATTTTAAAAGACGTGTAAACAAATTAGTATCAAACAGTTTAAAAGACGTGTAAACAAATAAGTATCCATCAGTTTAAAAGACGTGTAAACAAATAAGTATCAAACAGTTTAAAAGACGTGTAAACAAATAAGTATCCATCAGTTTAAAAGACGTGTAAACAAATAAGTTTCAACTAGTTTAAAAGACGTGTAAACAAATAAGTATCAAACAGTTTAATAGACGTGTAAACAAATAAGTATCAAACAGTATCAAACAGTTTAAAAGACGTGTAAACAAATAAGTTTCAATTAGTTTAAAAGACGTGTAAACAAATAAGTATCAAACAGTTTAAAAGACGTGTAAACAAATAAGTATCAAACAGTTTAAAAGACGTGTAAACAAATAAGTTCCAATCAGTTTAAAAGACGTGTAAACAAATAAGTATCAAACAGTTTAAAAGACGTGTAAACAAATAAGTATCAAACAGTTTAAAAGACGTGTAAACAAATAAGTTTCAATCAGTTTAAAAGACGTGTAAACAAATAAGTATCAAACAGTATCAAACAGTTTAAAAGATGTGTAAACAAATAAGTATCAAACAGTTTAATAGACGTGTAAACAAATAAGTATCAAACAGTATCAAACAGTTTAAAAGACGTGTAAACAAATAAGTTTCAATTAGTTTAAAAGACGTGTAAACAGATAAGTATCAATCAGTTTAAAAGACGTGTAAACAAATAAGTATCAAACAGTATCAAACAGTTTAAAAGACGTGTAAACAAATAAGTATCAAACAGTATCAATCAGTTTAAAAGACGTGTAAACAAATAAGTTTCAATCAGTTTAAAAGACGTGTAAACAAATAAGTATCAAACAGTATCAATCAGTTTAAAAGACGTGTAAACAAATAAGTTTCAATAAGTTTAAAAGACGTGTAAACAAATAAGTATCAAACAGTATCAATTAGTTTAAAAGACGTGTAAACATATTAGTATCAATAAGTTTGAAAGCCATGCTACATTCCAGCGATTAGACTTTATAAAGTATGTATTCCTGTTTAATATCTAAATCAAATACCGTTATTCTACTGAAGTTCATCAGTGATTATAAAGTATTTATCAAGTGGACAGATTTACTTCCACTGTTAGGCTTATGAAAACTACTGAAATTAATTAATTTAAATGTGATTCCTTGAAAATAGTCAACAAAACGACTAAATAAGAGAAGAAAATATAAAGATCGAAAGTTTTTACAATTAATAACACTGGAACTTTGTTCCCTTACTTTGAATTCTGGTGCTAAAGTAGCCGAATTAAATCATTTTCTTCTGATAAATGAAGTGAGAATGTAGAACATATGAATCAAAAGTGTTCATCTTGAACAAGCAACATGATGACGTATATCTATAAGTATCTAAAGATGAAAATAAGTACCGTGTTGTGGCGTTGAGGAGCGTGTTGTAGATGTTGTTTTTAATGTGCTTGATGAAGTTGTCGTAGGTACAGCTGTCGTTGAAGAACTTGTTGATGTTGATGGCGATATTGTAGATGTGGTCTCGGATGTTGACGCCAATGTTGTAGGTGTCAGCTCGGATGTTGACGCCAATGTTGTAGATGTCGTCTCGATGGTTGTAGATGTGGACCCATATGTTGAAGACGTATTTTCGAAACACATTTCATTTTCCGCAAATGGATCTAGTAAAAAAAAATGAAATGCTGATCAATCGCAGATCCTTGGAGAGAGTGTTTCGAAATAAAGGACCTCAAAGTTGATTCACATCATTAGCATTAAGCAGATTAACACCCTGTCATGAACCAACAGAGAAGACGACAAATATAGCATTACAAAGACATAATAACGTATGTAAAAGTTTGTTTTATTATTGCCACAGGTAGGCCTCACGAACAAGCCACGTGTCATTATTGACTTTGCCAATTTTCTTTAACTTCTTCATAGTAAATATAGTGTTATGTACAATAATGGTGAATGATGCATAGATACCCCGGGTAGTCCTGGAATTAAGTTGTCATTAAGCGTATGAATACATTCGGTGGTCAAGGTAAGACGTTCGCCAAAACCATGGGTTATGTCCCCTTAACGCTTATAGAGCCGTTATATAGGTTATGTTGTTGTCTTCATAGAGGTTACATACTACACATGTCACTTCGGTATCAATATACGGTGTACTGACATTTCTGAAGTTGTTGAACTTATGTAAGACCTTCACAAAAATAAGAAACTTTTCAAAGCCATCAAATTATAACATGGTAAATTTATTGTCAAACATGTAAGTTTGCCACACATCATATTAATGAGAGCCTATCCCTATCAATGCATAATGAACTATTGTCATTTTAAATGAAAAAAATAATATAATATAATTATTGTAAAATAGCGATAATCTACACTTTTGTATCAATAAACGCGTTAAATTTGTGATTGTACTATTTCATACAATTGCTTTTGATTATTATTTATTATTGCTTTGTACTTTTTAAAAACAAAAAACAAATGCGGAACATGCATTATATTTAGATGAAAATTAGTATAGTACATAGTAAAACAAAATGCAAACTTTGCACCAAACTGTTGTCAAGCTTACTATCATTCCAGTGAATGCTACTATATCATCTTTTTCATATAAAAGGAACTGAAGTTATTGCGAAAAAAACTAATTTTCTATTCATAGTTACAGTGACCTTGACCTTTGAACTTTGGACCTGAGAAGCATTCACAAGAAAACACTGTTGGTAAGGGAGCACTGTATGAAGTTTGACTTTGATCGGACTAAGAGGACCGAAGTTATTGCGAAAAAAAAATCCATTCATAGTTACAGTGACCTTAACCTTTGACCTTCGGACCTGAAAAAGCACAAGAAAGCACTGTTGGTAAGGGAACATTGTATTGAATTTGAGGTTGATTGGCAAAATGAACTCAAGTTATCGCTTAAACTGTTAGCAGATGGTATACCTACTGATACAGTATATATACCTGGACAAACCAGTGATGGTATACCTACTGATACAGTATATATACCTGGACAAACCAGTGATGGTATACCTACTGATACAGTATATATACCTGGACAAACCAGTGATGGTATACCTACTGATACAGTATATATACCTGGACAAACCAGCGATGGTATACCTACTGATACAGTATATATACCTGGACAAACCAGTGATGGTATACCTACTGATACAGTATATATACCTGGACAAACCAGTGATGGTGTACCTACTGATACAGTATATATACCTGGACAAACCAGTGATGGTATACCTACTGATACAGTATATATACCTGGACAAACCAATGATGTTATACCTACTGATACAGTATATATACCTGGACAAACCAGTGATGGTATACCTACTGATACAGTATATATACCTGGACAAACCAGTGATGGTGTACCTACTGATACAGTATATATACCTGGACAAACCAGTGATGGTATACCTACTGATACAGTATATATACCTGGACAAACCAGTGATGGTATACCTACTGATACAGTATATATACCTGGACAAACCAGCAAACCTACTGATGTATATATACCTATACTGATATATATACCTGGACAAACCAGTGCTGGTGGACCTACTGATACAGTATATATACCTGGACAAACCAGATGGTGTACCTACTGATACAGTATATATACCTGGACAAACCAGTGATGGTATACCTACTGATACAGTATATATACCTGGACAAACCAGTGATGGTATACCTACTGATACAGTATATATACCTGGACAAACCAGTGATGGTGTACCTACTGATACAGTATATATACCTGGACAAACCATTGATGGTTTACCTACTGATTCAGTATATATACCTGGACAAACCAGTGATGGTATACCTACTGATACAGTATATATACCTGGACAAACCAGTGATGGTATACCTACTGATACAGTATATATACCTGGACAAACCAGTGATGGTATACCTACTGATACAGTATATATACCTGGACAAACCAGTGATAGTATACGTACTGATACAGTATGTATACCTGGACACATCAGTGACGGTATACCTACTGATACAGTATATATACCTGGACAAACCAGTGATGGTATACCTACTGATACAGTATATATACCTGGACAAACCAGTGGTGGTATACCTACTGATACAATATATATACCTGGACAAACCAGCGATGGTATACCTACTGATACAGTATATATACCTGGACAAACCAGTGATGGTATACCTACTGATACAGTATATATACCTGGACAAACCAGTGATGGTATACCTACTGATACAGTATATATACCTGGACAAACCAGTGATGTTATACCTACTGATACAGTATATATACCTGGACAAACCAGTGATGGTGTACAGTATATATACCTACTGATACAGTATATATACCTGGACAAACCAGTGATGGTATACCTACTGATACAGTATATATACCTGGACAAACCAGTGATGGTATACCTACTGATACAGTATATATACCTGGACAAACCAGTGATGGTATACCTACTGATACAGTATATATACCTGGACAAACCAGTGATGGTATACCTATATATACTGATACAGTATATATATACCTGGACAAACCAGTGATGGTATACCTACTGATACAGTATATATACCTGGACAAACCAGTGATGTGATGGTATACCTACTGATACAGTATATATACCTGGACAAACCAGAGATGGTATACCTACTGATACAGTATATATACCTGGACAAACCAGTGATGGTATACCTACTGATACAGTATATATACCTGGACAAACCAGTATATAGATACAATATATATACCTGGACAAACCAGTGATGGTATACCTACTGATACAGTATATATACCTGGACAAACCAGAGATGGTATACCTACTGATACAGTATATATACCTGGACAAACCAGTGATGGTATACCTACTGATACAGTATATATACCTGGACAAACCAGTGATGGTATACCTACTGATACAGTATATATACCTGGACAAACCAGTGATGGTATACCTACTGATACAGTATATATACCTGGACAAACCAGTGATGTTATACCTACTGATACAGTATATATACCTGGACAAACCAGTGATGGTATACCTACTGATACAGTATATATACCTGGACAAACCAGTGATGGTATACCTACTGATACAGTATATATACCTGGACAAACCAGTGATGGTACCTACTGATATATATATACCTGGACAAACCAGTGATGGTATATATACCTACTGATACAGTATATATACCTGGACAAACCAGTGATGGTATACCTACTGATACAGTATATATACCTGGACAAACCAGTGATGGTATACCTACTGATACAGTATATATACCTGGACAAACCAGTGATGGTATACCTACTGATACAGTATATATACCTGGACAAACCAGTGATGGTATACCTACTGATACAGTATATATACCTGGACAAACCAGTGATGGTATACCTACTGATACAGTATATATACCTGGACAAACCAGTGATGGTATACCTACTGATACAGTATATATACCTGGACAAACCAGTGATGGTATACCTACTGATACAGTATATATACCTGGACAAACCAGTGATGGTATACCTACTGATACAGTATATATACCTGGACAAACCAGTGATGGTATACCTACTGATACAGTATATATACCTGGACAAACCAGTGATGGTATACCTACTGATACAGTATATATACCTGGACAAACCAGTGATGGTATACCTACTGATACAGTATATATACCTGGACAAACCAGTGATGGTATACCTACTGATACAGTATATATACCTGGACAAACCAGTGATGGTATACCTACTGATACAGTATATATACCTGGACAAACCAGTGATGGTATACCTACTGATACAGTATATATACCTGGACAAACCAGTGATGGTATACCTACTGATACAGTATATATACCTGGACAAACCAGTGATGGTATACCTACTGATACAGTATATATACCTGGACAAACCAGTGATGGTATACCTACTGATACAGTATATATACCTGGACAAACCAGTGATGGTATACCTACTGATACAGTATATATACCTGGACAAACCAGTGATGGTATACCTACTGATACAGTATATATACCTGGACAAACCAGTGATGGTATACCTACTGATACAGTATATATACCTGGACAAACCAGTGATGGTATACCTACTGATACAATATATATACCTGGACAAACCAGTGATGGTATACCTACTGATACAGTATATATACCTGGACAAACCAGTGATGGTGTACCTACTGATACAGTATATATACCTGGACAAACCAGTGATGGTATACCTACTGATACAGTATATATACCTGGACAAACCAGTGATGGTATACCTACTGATACAATATATATACCTGGACAAACCAGTGATGGTATACCTACTGATACAGTATATATACCTGGACAAACCAGTGATGGTATACCTACTGATACAATATATATACCTGGACAAACCAGCGATGGTGTATCTACTGATACAGTATATATACCTGGACAAACCAGCGATGGTATTCGATGGTATACCTACTGATGGTATACCTACTGATACAGTATGTATACCTGGACAAACCAGTGATGGTACTCACTGATACAGTATATATACCTGGACAAACCAGAGAGGGTGTACCTACTGATACAGTATATATACCTGGACAAACCAGTGATGGTATACCTACTGATACAGTATATATACCTGGACAAACCAGTGATGGTATACCTACTGATACAGTATATATACCTGGACAAACCAGTGATGGTACCTACTGATACTATATATACTGATACAGTATATATACCTGGACAAACCAGTGATGGTATACCTACTGAGACAGTATATATACCTGGACAAACCAGTGGTGGTATACCTACTGATACAGTATATATACCTGGACAAACCAGTATATATACCTGGACAAACTAGTGATGGTATACCTACTGATACAGTATGTATACCTGGACAAACCAGTGATGGTACTCACTGATACAATATATATACCTGGACAAACCAGTGATGGTATACCTACTGATACAGTATATATACCTGGACAAACCAGTGATGTTATACCTACTGATACAATATATATACCTGGAAAATATATACCTGGACAAACCAGTGATGGTATACCTACTGATACAGTATATATACCTGGACAAACCAGTGATGGTATACCTACTGATACAGTATATATACCTGGACAAACCAGTGATGGTACTCACTGATACAGTATATATACCTGGACAAACCAGTGATGGTATACCTACTGATACGGTATATATACCTGGACAAACCAGTGATGGTATACCTACTGATACAGTATATATACCTGGACAAACCAGTGATGGTATACCTACCTACTGATACAGTATATATACCTGGACAAACCAGCAATGGTATACCTACTGATACAGTATATATACCTGGACAAACCAGTGATGGTATACCTGATGGTACCTACGGACAAACCAGTGATGGTGTACCTACTGATACAATATATATACCTGGACAAACCAGCGATGGTGTATCTACTGATACAGTATATATACCTGGACAAACCAGTGATGGTATACCTACTGATACAGTATATATACCTGGACAAACCAGTGATGGTACTCACTGATACAGTATATATACCTGGACAAACCAGTGATGGTATACCTACTGATAAAGTATATATACCTGGACAAACCAGCGATTTTATACTTACTGATACAGTAAATGCCTACGCAAACTGAGGTATACTTACATATACAGTATGCTGATGAGCAAGAACCTGGCGGTTTGAGATAATACACACGGTACGAACAGCAATTCTTTACTTGAATTTCAAATGAAACATGACATGAAATGAATACGGTTGCCGTACAGACCGTCCTTGAAACGATACCATCAGACGTTGCCGGAATGTTACCTGTTAAAAAATGGATTTGTATCTTTTGATTATCTGTAGATAACTGCATGTCTTGAAACATTATGCCATGAGTTTATCTGTCATTTTACAATATATACAAAACTATAATAGAATAATGCGATATAAACTGAAATGTGTTATTAGTTGTTACCATTCATCCAGAGGGGATTATCTGTTCCACACCGGCTAGAAGGTACGGTGTTATTAACCAGGTCTGTACCATCAAACCCCGTGAACCTGTACCAGTCTTCTACAATCAGATTGTCACAGAGAGAATGGGATGTATCAGTGTTATTCGGCCATCGTCTACCATCCACAGATATTTCAGTGTACATAGAACAAGGATCCTGGGAAAATACTTGATGAAGAAAAAGACATAAAGTTAAAAATTTATATATTTTACAAAAGAGTTTTTTAGAGTATGAAATGTAAAAAATCAATTTGTTAAAACGTTGTACACATATATGTATCAAACCGGTGTGTTAAATATCGATATACAACAGTAACAGTGTGATCAAACGTAGTTTATAAAACAAAGTGTTGAAACGTGATATAAAACACAATAGTGTCTTCAAACGTAATATATTAAACAAACAGCGAGTTCAAACTTGATATAAAATGTGTTTAAACGTCAGATATAAAACAGTGTGTTTAAACGTTACATATAAAACAGTATGTTTAAACGTGATATATCACAAAACCGTGTGTTTAAACGTTTAATATAAAACAAGCATTGTGTGTCTAAACGTGATATATACCAAAACATGTGTTTAAACTCGGTATAAAGCACTACCATGTTTTAAAATGTGATATAAAATAAAACCATGTGTTCAAACGTGATATACAACATTAAAATGTGTTAATACATAAACAAAATTGTGTTAGAAAGTTGTACAATGTATGTAACAAAAATGTGAGTTAAAAACATCCTCAACATATCCACTTAGTAGGAAACAATGCACTATAACTATTACAAGGATATTTTATATCGACACAGATATCGCTTATTTAACATACAGATGATAACGACTTCATTTCGTGTATATGTATATAGTGAGTATTTTTTGTTTTCAAAATTAACATATGTTGTGAAGCAGAACAATTGCAATTTTCTGTTTTTATCTCTCAGGTCAATAGAAATCACACAGCAAATGCCTTAGCTCCTGAAAACACAAGTAAGGTCTCCTACCTGTTTGCATTCCTGTGATAAGGAGGAGGATAACAAACCGATTCTCTGTTCCATGGTCCATGCTTATAGTCAGCTGTCGCGTAGCATGTGTTATATATACTGTCTGAAAACGAAGTTATGTGGTATTAGGAAGTAAAAAATGACACAACATAGGCTATTTTAAGACTTGAATGTGTGCCTACATAGGTGGAGATTACACCAGGATAAACAAAGTTGACAAACTGTGACTGGTAGTTACATACTATACAAAACCTCGGACAACAAACCGTGTTAGCATGTACTTGAAATAAGAGATAGCAATCTAATAAAGAAATTTCATGGGGTGACTGGAATGTATTAAAGCCTGCATATTCGTGTTCTATTTGATTCGAGTGGTGGCACCGTTCAGAATACCCGTCCTTGACGTTCTTCTTAAAATTATCAGATATATATGAAAATAACGATATTTACTTAATCATGGGACTATTGCAACTTCTAAATTAGGGTTTAGCATTTCTTTCGATCACTTTTCCTCATTCGCCTTCTAGTTAAACATTTGGCCCTTAGCATCACTAACGAGTGCTAGAAGGACGAAACAGCTGTATGATGTAGCATCACTGTCGAGTCTTAGAAAGACGAAACAACTGTATGATGTAGCATCACTGTCGAGTCTTAGAAGGACGAAACAACTGTATGATGCTTTTAAAGTTATTGTTTCGCTCTACTGTATCTTAGCATCACTGACGAGTCCTGGAAGGACGAAACAACTGTATAAAGTTATTGTTTCGCTCTACTGTATCTTAGCATCACTGACGAGTCCTAGAAAGACGAAACAACTGCCTAATGCAGTTTAAGTCATCTTTTAACTCTACTGTATCGTATCTAAATTTAAATTAAATGGTGCTGTTCACTTCTGTGTCTTTTGTACAATATCCTACCTGTCATATGATCATGCTTGTCATTACTGTGTAAGCGTTTAAGTTCAAATCTGACAGACGCCATCGTTATCAGGATAAGTTCACCTTTCCAGAAAAAAAGTGAACCTATCTATTTATAGCGCTTCCTGACGTCTGTCTTGTTAGCAGAAGTGTCCATTTGTATCTCTGTTCTTTGTTTTCATTGGTAGAAAGGCGACATTGCCGTCGTAAAGAGATATTGTGTTTTTTCTGTGGATAACCTAAGCGAATAGTCTCCTTTTTACGTGACAACCTTACCTGGTATTGGTTTCTCAAAGATCATATCACGGTGACACAGAGTCAACAGAACATCATACAGAAATGTTGTTTACAATAATTACAAATAATCCGAACATGATAAAACGGAAATTAAATCTGCTTCGATTTCAAAGGAGTCACATTAAAAAAAGAAACCACGCGAAGGCCCATAAAATTGTTTTCAATGACCATGTATACGATCATATATCACATGTTCAACAACTGAATTGAAGAAAAAGACAAATTAATCAATTGTCTTTGACCAAAAGTTAGAGAGGTATGGCATATATATTATATAATGGGTGGTCGGTGGCGCAGTGTTAACGCGCTCGCCTTTCACCTAGCCGACCGGGGTTCGATTCCCGGAACGGATGTGAAAAGGTAAGGGTTTTCCCCGGGTACTCCGGTTTCCTCCCACAATAAGACCCCTCGCGCGCTTACATCCGGGCCGACAAGAGTGATTAGTATAAGTTGACATAACTTGTTTCGCAATTGTTGTAAAATAAATAAAGTTTATAGTATATATAATGCATAATAATTAAAAAATATAGAGTAAGATATGAGCAATCTACCCAGAGGCATAAGATTAGGGTGACTGTACGTAAGACACAACTATCAACTATCAAACTGATATTGAGATACAATTTAGCACTACAAGTCAACTGAGTCAGAAATACGTTGATGCTAACACATTTCTATCTCAGCGGACAATACATAGTTTCCTTTCATTAACCTGTAAACAACCTTAATTTTCAAATGAAGACGGAGTCAGCTCTAGTATAATATGTGGTCAGAGTTGTGGAACTGTTCGTCTGTTGGTACTACTCAATCACCGAAAGTCTTGATTATCGATTTATTTCACAATTATTACTGTAATGTTAAAGAATGTATAGATCCTTTTTACTCAGTTGGTCCTTTGGTGTAATTTTTTTTACAGTCAATATTATTAATTGGCTTGATGATCATTTCACGTGGAGAAGGTAAGATGTATATTGCTTAATAAATCAATAGTGATCTAGTTTGATATTTTATAGATTTAATTCGATTTCTTTTGGTAAAACACAAGTCCATTGAGATAATGTAAGTTCGAAACAGTTTGAGTTCTCTATTGAATTTTTCCTGAAAGGGAATGTAAACATGAGATCAGGTATTCCACTGAGACAAACCTTTAGCTTGAATATGAAAAAACACATTTTCTGAGTGGTAATATTCCAGGCAGAATTCCGGATATTATGAGGAGAAATTGTTTGCGCATGTGCACATAATGTGAATAGTTTACGCATTGCAGTCAACCTTTCATTATCCGAGAGAATGTCATGGGCAACCTTTATCATTCAACTCGCGTGGAGATTGCTGTGTTGATCACAGGCACTCGAGGCCAGGATATTATTTTTTAAACATTGATTTTTGTTTTAGCACTCATGACTGACGTTATTTAAACGAAATATCAGCAGAATTCAAGTTTATGTGCCGGTTGACAAATCCGAGTTCCACGGTCATTAAAAATACACCGTGGACCTCGGATTTGTCAACCAGCACATAAACTTGAATTCTGCTGATATTTCGTTTAAATAACGTCAGTCATGAGTGCTAAAACAAAAATCAATGTTTAAAAAATAATATCCTGGCCTCGAGTGCCTGTGGTGTTGATATTTTTGCGTGAACCCCATTTGAAACTGCACGAGAAAAGAAATATCATGAAGACTTATATGAAATTCTTAAGTATCAGTAAAGTAATTAAGGTAATCGCAGTTGTAAATATACGCGCATGTCTCTCAAAACTGAAAGTATCGTTAGCTTTAATTAAACTCATGTGAATAGGCGATTAAACATCTTTAATGGAATAACAGAACATGACGATAAAGGATCATGGACATATTCTGTTACTATATCGTAGGTGTAAATTTTAAAGCTGCAAAAATCTAGGTCACAAACCGGCCGCTGTTAACAGCAAAGAGCATGGAGCTGCTGACATCGGGGTCACTCACATCACAAATTTGGTGAGTTCCATCCACGGATATTTCTTACTCTTTGGTCAGTATATAACAGTATGCGCAATATTCTAGATGATATTGGTAACGTAGGAAACCAGAGCAGCCAGCTGTATATTTTAGACAAACAAGTGCATTTGTAAGCACGTGAAATATCCAATTAACAGTATTCAGAAGTTAATGTACATGAAGATATATTTTATCAAAATTGTGTGTTAAAATGACATTAACTAGGACTGTACATTGGCGTTTCCATTAGATACACAGTTTGCTGCCATTTCAATTGCATGTTACACTTGCATTTTTTTGCACTTGACTAATTATCATCTTGTGTTGATATCTTTCATATAGATAATATCTTATTTGATGGAAACAATTTGCATAGCAAAATACTTGTTGGTTTAGGAAAACACACAGTGAATTATTTGTTTTTATAGTAATACTGTATCATCTAGTTGTAGCTTTAACATCATTTCATTAACGTAACTATATCCTTCTACCCAAGCATTATCAAAATCTGTGTAGCAAACTCTTTATAGATTCAACAAGTTTTATGGTATGATACAGTGGGAAACATATCAAATGAAAGGAATAAATGTTCATCCGTCCATTCAGATCATCCCCAACCAGATATCTCTGGCCGTTAAATGACAAATTTTCCTAATAAGGTTGTTTCGCTAGAGGGTTTGCGTTACAAACGTTGTTATTGGAATGAGTGTATTAACAGAAGAAGCTGGTACGTGTGATTATTTTGTTGCAATAAAGATATTTCGATGGCACTGCGGGGGGCCAAGTTGGTAACGGTCGTTACACAGAAAGTGATTTACTGTACCAGCTATCGTCTTTCTAAAATTAATCTAATCTGACCCACTTCTTCTAATGTAATTTTCTTACCTCATCTTCTCTCATTATTTGTTTTGTAGTTTATGTATATATATATATATATATATATATATGTGTGTGTGTGTGTGTGTGTGTGTGTGTGTGTGTGTGTGTGTGTGTGTGTGTTTACAGGGTCGCCAACTTATTGTCAAGTAATATCTGGTCATATACTACAGTAAAATGTGACGGAGTGGTTTTACAGGATCATAGGGTAAAACAAAGACCTAATGATTTATCATATAGTATAGTTATCACATATGTATGAGTTTAAATGATGTTCTACTTCACGTTTGAGCGTTATTTTGATTATGATAGATAAAGAAAGAATCAGATGATTCTAGCATTTTGCACAGTTTGAAGAGATCATGATATGACCAATATCAGGTTAACCAGGCAGGTAGTTTGGCGATCCTTTATTTCTACATGTAACCGTGTTTAAACAATGAGCTGTAGAAACGGAGACGAATTTACATATGTTAAAATACGAAGTTTCATGCATTCTGTAATGTAGATCTGAATGAAATGTTTATATCGATAGAGTATGCTATTCATTCAAACTAACAAGATGGTCCTACCTGTCTGCTGTCGGACTGGCCATCACATAAATTAATCTGAATCTTGAGCCGAGGTACTCCTACGTCTGTCCCGGATCCCGAAATCCGAGATGTTGTTATTCTGCACGAATAATTAGTTACAAAACATATGATGTTACTTATCGTACATGTCTTACATTCCACCCTGATGACGATCTCAGCCGTTACTTAAACAGAAACATCTAAAACCTAACGATCGTCATTTGTTATACAACACGGTTTGGCCCATGGTATATATACATAAATACGTCGTAAATACCATATAAGTGAATAATATTCATCCGTCATCCTTCGAGAACTCAAAAGTGATGCTGAAGGCTTAAAATGTTGAAACCTAGGAGGAAACAAATCGAAATTGTCCCAAATTAATGTGAAC